GTGTGGGTTCTCTGAGTCCAGCAGTACAGAGAGGGAGGCAGTTTCCCACATTGGCCCTGCATACCGGGGTGAGCCTTCCAGGTCCCTGCAAGCAGCAGTCAGGGTGCAGAGCCTGCATCTGCCTCTGAAGGAGCCCTGGGAGTTGCGGGGGGGGGGGGGGGCTTCTCTGTGTCAGCAGTCGCAGCCTCCCTGCTTGGACCCCAGGCTTCATTCAACACTGAGCCCCTGGGAGCCTCCCACCAATTTCTCCGTGCAGGTTCTTCCCTTTGCCTCTCGAGTCTTTCTCCACAGCTCTCCCAGAGGCACATCATTTCCTTACCTGCCCAATGTCATCTCCTTCCAGTGCAGTTTCCTGGCCGCTGGAATGGTAGGAAGCCAGGGTGCTCCCCCAGGGGCAGCTGCTGCTGGACACGTGACAAATGAGCATGCCACATGCCTCTGTGGGGCAGACTTTGGCAGTACCTCAGCGTGCTCAGTGGTAGAGCACTTGCCTAGCATGTGTGAGGGCCCCGGGTTCATGCCCTGCCACCTCACAAACCAAGGATGGCAGCAAACCAAACACCTGTATCATCAGTATCTCAAAACCGGTCTCCTGGACTGCTAGTACACAGCAGGGAATCCATGGTGGGACCTCAGAAGTGCACTGGGCCCTCACGCCCCTCCCCAGCCCTCCCCTGCGCACATTCCTGCTCTTTCCTGCTCACTCCACCCCCCCAGCCCCAACCTGCCCTGCCTCACTTGCCTCTGGTGTCAGCCCACTTATGGCCTGAAAGGAAAAAAGGCCAAGAGGGTCTGACTATCCTCTGGTTGCTTATCAGCTGGGCTGGCAGGCTGGAGTGGGGGAAGAAAGGACAGAGTGGCTTCCACAGCTCATAGGGCAGGAATTTCCCCTGGTTATGATTAAGATTACGAGTGTGGTCTGCAAATTGTCAATAGATATCTCTGATGATGGCAGAGAAACAGAAGTGAGGACCTTTATGCGGGGAACAAGGCTTTGGGAAAGAAATTTCACTTTCTAAGTCTTGGCCTGGGCAGTGCCTTGGTTATGTGAGGGGTCCTGGAGCCTAATGACAGTCACTCAATGGCTGTGTGACTAGAGAAGTTGCTTGATCTCCCTGAGCCTCAGCAGAACATCAAGCATGGGGCCAGCTGGAACCCTCAGTGGAGGGTCCCTTGGAGGCCTTGAAGAATCAAGGCAGTGGGGCTGGAGTGATAGTATAGCAGGTAGGGTATTTGCCTTGCATACGGCTGACCTGGGTTCAGTTCCCAGCATCCTGTATCGTCCCCCAAGCACCACCAGGACTAATTCCTGAGTGCAATACATCTGGGAGTATCTAACTAGAGCACCCACCTCTCCAAGTACAAGACCAGTTCCCAAGGAGCTGCACATGAATCCTCACCAAGCACACCGGAGGTCCATTCTGGCCCCACTCAGGCTCCTCCTGAGCCTCCAGAACCAACATCTCTCTCATTGCTGAAGTGTAGACAGGATGTGACTGACAGTCCAGCTGCCTGCACCCGCCTTCAGCCTCCAAGTGCTGTGCTGCAGTGCCCTCTGCTGTCCAATCTTGATATGACACCTAGAGCTGGTGTCTTCAAGACCTAGAATTTCAGGCTGTTTCGGGAAACAGCTTAAGAAGAATCCTGGTCCTACCCTCTGAGGGACAGAAAGGAAGGGCCAGGGAGATGCCTTCGGGGGAAAGCTAGCCAAGCGGGTCACTTGCTTCAGACCCTGCCCTCACCTTTCTCTCCCACTGTGGATGGTTGGTGGCTGCTGAGGCCAGAAGTGTGCAGGACACTCTAGAATGTCACATCATCTTCCTTCTCTGGAGCTCTCTCTGGACCACTCACCACCACATGCTGGGCTGTGACCCTGTTGGGCCTGCTGGTGCTGATATAAGGAGGGCTCAGGAGAGCGCTGCCAGCCGTGCCCACCCGGGACCCCCAGGAGAGGGCTCTGAGCCTGAGACTCTGTTTCAATGGCTGCAAACGTGGGTCTGCCAAAGGTGGCACTGAGGAAGAAGGCCCATGAACCGGCTGGGCCTAACATCAGGAGACAAGAGAACCCCATCAAACACTTTCACAAAAGTGGGTGCTGAGTGAGAAAGTGGGGTGTGGGGGCTGAGAGGTGTGTGTGGGTGGGGGGCAAGCAGCGAGGGCCCAGCAAAGCTCTCTGTTGTCCTTGGACCTCTCCATGGCCTCCTGGTGGTGGGGACAGCAGTCCCTGACAGAGGTGTCCACCCCTGCAGCCTCTGTCTCCCCCTATGACAGTGGGACCCAGCCAGGCTGCCATCAGGGGACTGTCTGTCTTCCATAACTGCGGGCCTGGCTGGCCCTGTCTGAGCTGCAAGCAGGAGCTGACAGTGAGCTTCACAGGTGGAACTGCCGCCGCCTCAGGGTAATCCCACCAGCATGAGGACCCAGCCACTCAGAGATAGCCTGCCCCCATGGTTCAGGATCAGCGCCCCCCCGCCACCCTTAAATTCAGCCACGAAGAGCTGGCAAGTACATCTGGAATGATCTTTCGAGTCAGTGTTTGATGGAACCACCGGGTGCTTGCTGCCCAGCAGGGCGACTGAGAGCGGGCCATGCATGGGGGTGCCCTTGGGCTCTGTTCCCCAGATGCCCTGGGGGAGGGCTGGCGACTGGATGGCGGTTTTCTTGTCTAGAGTCTGGTACGCGTAGGTCTGTCAAGCAACAGAGGCGTATGTGTGGGGGGTGTGGTAGGCTGGAGGAAGGGTCTCGGCCAAGGTGATGAGCGGGGCTGGTGGTCTCCTTGTCTGGAAAGAATGTGGGGGCCCAACGTTGAGAGCCTGGGGATGGTTGGGTGAGCGACTCCTTTTAGAGTCCTGGGACTCGAAAGCAGGTAGCTCCAGAGAGGGGCAGCATGCACCCACGCACCATGCGCCCACAATGCACAGAGAGGTACCGGCCCTGCCTGACCCTCCACTTGGCTCAGCCAGGGTCAGGTTGCCTGTTGTTAGGGTCTTGGCAAGTCCCACCTGGCCTGGTACTCTCAGCTACAGGAGAGGAGGGATGGGAGGGGAGGGGAGGAAAGGGGAAGGGAGAGGAGAAGGGGAGGGAAGGGGAGGGGGGAAGGAAGAGGAGAAGGAGAGGGAAAGGAGTAGAGAGAAAGGAGGGAGAAAGGCAAGGGGGGAGGAGGGAAAGAGGGAGGAAGTGAGGAGGGAGGGGAGAACTCAACATGGGGTATGTTTGGATCTTTAGTTCTGGGTCAAGTTTTTGGCCAAAAAGCTCAAGTGAGCCTCAGCTGTAAGTGTAGAACACAGATGAGACAGCATCCATCCCCTCATCTGGGCCCCTTCTCAGATGTTAGAGCCTGTGGGTTATGGTGTGTGTGCGTGCATGTGCATTTGTGTATGTGTGTGTGTGTCTGGAATGTAAACGCAAATATGGGCTGGAGAGATAGTATAGTGGGCAGGGCATTTGCCTTGCATGCAGCCAACCTGGGTTCAATCCCTACTACCACATATGGTTCCCCAAGCCCTGTCAGGAGTGATCCGGGACTGCAAAGCCAGGAGTCAGCCCTGAGCACTGCCAGGTGTACCCCCCAAAACAAAACTATATGCATATAAATGTGTGTATTGTATGTGAAATGCTGACCTGTTTTCCTCATCTAGGAAGAGTGTGATAATCCCCTGCCCCCTCAGGGCAGCCGGGAAGGGAACAGGAGCATGAGTTCACTGCTGAGAAAATGCAGGTGTTAGTAATAACTAAGATTTGTGTTATACTAACACAGTTGACCCTGCACTAGCTGCTTCCCACACATAAAGGGAAAGGCCTAATCTCTAAATCTCTGCGGGAAATTGAGTATTTTATAATAATATAATAGATACCACAGTATAATAATCATTGTACAATACATTATTGTAATAATTATATCATACATCATACAATATATAGCATCATTATAATATAATACTTATCATATAACCGTACATTATTATAGCATTATTATTTATTTTTGCAGTTCCAGGGACTGAACTCTGGGCCTTACATGTGCAAGACAAGCACTCTCCCACCAAGCCTCGAGCAGTGTCCTGTGTGCTGTACAGCAGAGCCACCACCCGGGTTTCCCTCCTGACCTTGAAGAAACACTCCTGGGGAGGGGGAGGGGGGGTCGGAGGTTGGGGAGGGGGACTCAGGTCACTGCTTCTTGTAGTGAACTTTGCAGAATGTCCCTGAAATCATTTACAGGCACTGGCGCTGAGGCTCTGCAGTTGGCGAGGAGGAGGAGGGGTGGGGGAGGGGGAGGAAAGAGGAAGGAGGAGGAGGAGGAGGAGGGCGAAGGAGGTGGGGTGAGAAGGCTGCGGCCTGGGCCCGGCAGGACCGAGGGCGTGCCTGGGATGGCCCCGGTGTCTTCGGCCCGGCCCGCGTCCAGGGTGCGCAGCCCATAAGGCCTGCTGGGGGCGCGCAGTCTGCGGCCGCGGCGCTTGAGCTCCGCTAGCTGCAGGCGCGCCCCGGGGTCAGGGAGACCCAGTCCGAAGTGAGACATACGGAGCGCTCGCCGCGTCCGCCTTCCCCCTCCCAGCGGTGCGCCCGCGGGCACTGAATGGGCACAGAGCGCCGCGGCACGGGCCATGGGCACCTTCCAGCTGGATGACTTCGTGGCGGGCTGGATCGGAGGTAAGTGTGTGTGTGTGTGTGTGTGTGTGTGTGTGTGTGTGTGTGTGTGTGTGCGCGCGCGCGCTCCCCGGAGCGCCCGCAGCAGGGGCAGGCAGCGGCCAGAGCGTCCACGTCGGGTCCAGGGTGCTCGGCGCCCCCAGGCAACCCGCCGCCGGGAGCGCGCACACCGGTGGTCCTGCTGGCCCCGAGCCTGCTGGCCGAGCTGAACTTCCCAGCTTCACCGCGATTCACTCTGAGCTTCCTATTTGCCTCCAAGTTGGGATCCGCAAAAAAGGATCCAGCTAGCCCTGTGGCCGCCAGTGGCGCGCCCCAGTGCGAGCACACCCTCCCTATGGTGCTCACCTGAATTTGGGGACATGGCTCGCAGGAACTTGTATGTGCGGGCGGCGCAGGCACGGACCCCTCCAGCACGGGATGGGGAACCTGATTTGGCTATCAGGCCAGATTATGGGGCAGAGCAAGAAGAGCTGGTGCTGCAGATGCCAAGTGCCAGCCAGGGAGGGGTCTGTCTGCAGCCACTGTCACAGGGTCCCCCTCCAGAGCCTGTGCATTTCCTTGCTTCTCCTTTCTTCTTTCTGAGTAAACATTTCCTTTCTCCTTTCTCACCTGTAGGAAGGGTGTGAAAGATCTCTCCTAACATTAAATATTATTTTGGGGGGGGGGGAGTTGGGGGGCACACCAGCAGTACTTAGCTCTCTAGCTCTTTGCTCAGGGATCACTCCTGGCAGCCCAGGGGACCATATGGGATGCTGGGGATTGAACCACGGTCTGCTGGGTACAAGGCAAGAGCCCTACCTCTGGGACCTTGGGTCCCTGAGCACTGGCAGCTCCTTGTACTATCTCTCCAGCCCTGAATATTCTTTCTTTGAGCCCTGTTGAAGAGGATCGTCAGAATTGGGATTTGACAGATGCACCCCCCACCCCAATCAGAGATGGAGGTGCTGAGCAGAGTGGCTGGCTGTGTGCACCACCCCCCTTCCCCAGGATTGTCAGCCTGCAGGAGACTAGGACGGGTGGGGGCAGGGAACACTAAACCAACTAAACCAGGCAGATGGTATACCTTCCTCTTTGCCATTGAGCAGGGGTTTGTCCCCCCACAGATGGCCACAGGGCTTGTGCAATGGCCATCCTTTCACAGTGGGCAGCACTGCTGATACAAGCTGCCTTGGGGTGACTGAGACCTGCCAGTCAGGGACTGTCCATGCTTGGGGGGGAGGGCGCCAGGGGCTTCTTGGGGCAGCCCTCAGGTAATCTGAGGTATACTCCTCCCTCTACCATCCAGCTGGCCTGCCAGAGGCTTGCTTGAGAAATGCACCAGAAGGCCAGGCTGAGCCTCGTTGCTCACCATCTAAGGATGCAGAGACCCTTACCAACTCACAGGGCAAGCCATGAGTTGCTGTTTATTCTTAGACTGATCTGATTTTGTTCATTAAACTCTCTGATTTTCCTCCCATGAAATGAGGGGGCACCGGTGGCAGTGAAGAGGTAGGATGATGCCTGTGTGTATGCTTGACATTATTTTGCCTATCACAGATTTCGCCCATTGAGGCATCCAGGCCCCATACTTTTAGTAACTTTTCCAAGTGGTGTGATCACAGTCACGAAGCTGTCTTAGAGCATTTCCGTCTCATCCTCTCCCTTCATACGAGCCTTGTGCACAGTCAGAATTAAGCCTGCTCCCCTCCTCCTCTCCTGAGCTTTCTGGCTCCAACAGGTGCCTATTTTCTATCAACTGAGTTGTGCCGTGTGTGGTTTGGTTCCTGTTTCTCTGCATCTCTGCGGAACCCCAGCCAAGGAGCTGCTCTCATCACAGAAGGAAGTGGATACACAGAGGAATTCAGCTGCTGCCCAAAACCAAGGGTCACGCTTGGGCTCAGGGATTCCAACTCAGACTTGTCTGGTGCCAGGGAGAGCTCAGCCCCTGGGCGTGCCTCCAGCTGGTTCCACCCCTGGTCACCTGAATGACCTTGCCTGATCAAGTCTCCCCATCCGGTCCTCACATTTGATCTGTAAGATTCATGGCCTGGGAGGTCCAGAGACCTGAGAACCACAACCTATTTGTTGAAAGCATCCCAGCTTAGAGATGGATGAGCAGGGAGACACAGCCCAGGGCCTGGAATCCGTAGCAAAGGGCTTACTCTCTAGGGAGCTTCCTGTAAGTGAGGCTTTGCCCAGTGAGCGTCTCCAGTTTCCCTCTGCCTCTTACCTGCTCTTTGGCAAGAAGAGGGTGAGGGTCTGCAGGGGCTGTGCCAAAAGAACCTTTGTTCTGGTCTGACTCGGTTTCTCTGTTCCCATCAGTAGCACAACACAGTCCCTGGCTAAGTCCTGGCACTGTCAGCCACTCTTCTTTCCCCATCTGCTGAGCAGTGACCACCTGGGGAATTTGTCTTAGGAGAACGTCTCGTTTTGGTCTCACATTCAGCGACATTCAGAGTTTCTAAGCTATGTGATTTTGGTGGGGTCCGGCTTCCCCCACATATACATAAGTGTTCAGACCCTGTGAATATGTGTATGTACGTGCAATTTTCCCACAGAAAGATCCAGGGTTTTAGCCACCGTTTCAACAAAGCCTTCTTCAAAGCAGAGAAGAACCAAATAAGAGTGAGGCCTTCCCATGGAGCATCCTAGAGGTGGGCTTCCTGCTGTCCTGCCTCCCCTCATTCCACTCTGACAGGGGAGCCAGGAGGCAAGGGTCAATAGCACTTCCATCTTCACAGGCTAGAAGGGTAGAAATGGTAAGTAATCTACTGGATTTCTCTTTTCTCTCTTCCCCTTCATTTTAAGGGGGTCCTTCCAAACAGTTCTCAGGAGATTCTGAGGCCACTTGTGGTGATACTTGGCCAGCTTGGCTGGCGAGTTAGTGGTAGGGTCCAAAACGCAGCTGTTTGGGCCCTGTAATGCAGGAACCACCATACCATGCTTCGGGGGTCCGCAGGGTCATGCCCAGCAATGCTCAGGAAGCCATATCACACCAGGATTGAACCCAAGTTGGATTCATGCACCCTAACCCCTGTACTATCTCCTAATCCTCCCCATTGATTAAAAGATGCAATGCACATAAAGGCGGTTACTTTATTGTACACTCCAGAGCATCGTGCAAACAGTATCTCCCCAAATACTTTCCTGCCACCTATGGAGAACTTTGCACCCATAGAGCAATCACCCCCATCTCCCCTTCCTGAACCACTCATCTGTTTCCTCTCTCTGTGGATTTCTTATGGAAATTTGTTTGTTTTCATGTCATACCTGCAGATGCTCAGGGCTTATTCCTGACTGCACTCAGTGATCACTCCTGGCTGTTCTCAAGGGCCCATACAGGGTGCCAGAGTTGAACCCACAGTCTTATTTCTCCAGCCCTTAGTCTGGAAATTTTATAGAAACAAATCATACAACCTGTTACCTTTTGTTTGTTTGTTTCACTTAGAGAAGGTTTCCAAAGTTAATGCACATTGTATGATGTGTCCATGTGTCACCTCAGACCTGTTTTCATTTGATAGCCTGCATGGGGAGCTGGCTGCTCAGTCTGCCTTTAGCTGATGGGTCCCTGGGGTCGGTCCCACCTCTTTTTTTTGCTGCAAATGTTGCTGCCAAGAACTGGATGTACATTTGAAAGCCCATTTTCAATCATTTTAGGGGTATGTCTAGGCGTGGAATTGCTGGGTCTTAGGGCGATTCTCTGTTTAATGTTTGGGGAAACTGCTAAATTTTCCCAGCAGGAGTGTCCCAGAATTCAAATCTTCCCCATATGCACCCCCTACCCTCACCTCAGCACTTATTTGAATAGGGAACAAAATGAGAGTGAAGGAGAATCTCACTGTGACTTGAGTTTGCATTCTGCTCATAACTCATGGGGCATCTTATTATGCGCATAAGGCTGTCTGTACACCTTCTTTGGAGAAATGTCTCTACTCCTGGCTCTGCACTCAGGAACCACTTCTGGTGGTGCTTGGGGGACCGTATGGGATGCTGGAGATCGAAGCTGGATCATCTGTGTGCAAAGCAAGTGCCCTACCCACTGTATTATTGCTCCAGTCCCAAGAGTTCTTTCTTTTGATACTAGACTCTTATCAAGTATGTCACTCGAGAAAATCCCTATTTCCCCATGTCCCATCCTAATTCTCAATTGTCTTTGCATCCTTGATACTTAGGCATACAAAAAGTTTTAAATTTCTGACATTCAGTGTTCGGCTTTGTTTTCCTTTGGTTGCCTGCCTTATAGGTGTCCTGAGTAAGAACCTTTCCAAATCTAGAGTCTTCTAGGTAAAACACCAATTGGAATAAGTTTCTGTGTGTGGTTGAGGGGGGGAGGGGGCTGCCCTCCAGTCCTCTGCTCCAGACAAAGGAAGTGACAGCGGAAGTGTCTGAGCCCCTTTGAGTGCCAGTGACACTTCCAAGGCAAGGGTTGAGTGACCTCTGTGCTTCTTCCATTCCCAGGTGCCGCCAGTGTCATAATCGGTCACCCGCTGGACACGGTCAAGGTATGGTCGCCCTGTTTGTCAACACTATGCAGAGTGGGGCACAGAGGAGTGTGTGCAGAAACGCACCTGCTGCGGGTGGCCAGCCCGGGCAGAGGGTGGATGCAGGGGTCCTGCTCTGGAGTGACTTCACTCTTCACACTCTTCATTTCAATGACTGTCCCATTCCTGCCTGGGGGAGGGGCAGGCCATGTGAGTGTTCCCCTGCAGGTGTGGGGCAGCTAAGGCACCAGGATGGGCCCCAAGAGAGAGGTGGCCTCTGGGCCCATTGGGAGCAATACTTAGCCCTGGCCAGGGAGTGGCGTGGATGGAGGGTTCCAGATGGGAGTGGGGTGGGAAGCATGCAGGGAAAGGTGCCGTGGCCAGTGTTCTCCTGACTGTGGTGAGGCTAGGATCCAGGCAGGAGGACCAGGAGGTGGGCCATTGCTCACACATATGCCTTGTGTGCGTGAGACCCGAAAGGTCTCATGCTCAGGGCCGTGAGTTAGGGCCGAGACATGGGTGGGCAGTGGAAGCCATCTGGGCCTGAGAAGGGGCAGGTTGGGTGAGGCCCCACCCCAGGCTTTCCCAGCCCTGTGTTCTCATATAGAAATGGGGCCTCAGCAATCCAGGCACCTGCACGTAGGCATGAGGTGGTGCCAGGGATGTTGCCCCCACTTCCCCTTACCTGCCCCAGTGGGGTCCCGAGAACAGAGTCACCAGAGTGCCCCTTCCAAACCCATGCTGGGAGATGCCCCCCATCCTGCAGTTGTTGCAAGTTCCTTTCTGCAAAGTTGTCCTACTCCTCTCCCCCCGTGACTGACCTCAGGCCCCTCCGGGGGAAACCCTGCTTCCTTCTGCATGGGGAGGTCAGTCCCCTGCGTCCTGAATAGTTGGAGAAATACTTCAGATGGAGAAGCGGGGATGTGGGGGCACTGGGGTCCTGACTGTGGGGGTGCAGACTTAGTGCCGCCCTCCCGGGGCTGCTCCTGCCTTCCCCTGCAATCCAGGAGTGGAGTGGGGTACCGACCTCTCAGCCAGGCTATGGGAGGGTGGGTGCTCCAGGCCCCAAAGGGGTCTGGCTCTGGGCCTCCTGCCCCTCGGCTTGCACCTTCTCTGAGCTTTGAGAGGCCTGAAGGGGACTGGGGCCCCATGGGAAGCTCCAAAACAAAGGCAGGAGGTCCCGAGCCACCTGCCCCTCTACTCCCACCTCCCCAGACTACCCCCAGGGGCCACAGGCACTTCTGGCCCTGCCATGACTGCAGGACTGAAAGGCAGGACCCTGACTCCTCCAGCCATGCAAGGACAGTGCCAGCCTAGAGCCCTAGAGGTGCGCGGAGGAGGAGGAGGAAGATTCTGGTATATCCAGAAGTGCTGAGGCTGCATTCTGGCCAGAGAATCTGAGGGGAGGTGAGTGGGGATGGGGGTGTGGGGGCCCCTGCCAGCATACCTGTCCTCCCCAGGCCTCTGGGTTTAGGATCTAGCAAGAAAGGAGGGCGCAGATCTTCGTAGGAAAGTGACAGATCAGAAAAGCCAGAAATGCATCAGGCTGTGCAGCTGGGGGCAGGGGGGTGCTGGGGAGCAGGCACTGCTGAGGGGGCCGTCAGATGTGGCCCCTTTGGAGAGGGGAAGCTAACTGAGGCCAGACCCCAGTGATTGAAGCAGCCGGCAGGAAGGAGCTGAGGCCAGACCGCTGGGGAGGGTTGGGTTGGGCGGTGGGTGATCAGAGGAAGAGCCGGTGGGGGTGGGGTGGGGGTTACTCTAAAGGGCACAGCCAAGCCAGCATGTGAGGATGGATGTGCTGAGGTGAGCAGGGGTGTGGCATGGGAGCTGGAGAACACCCTGGGGAGAATGGGCAGGTGGGGGAAGCCTTGGGGCTGGGCGACCTGCCTCCTACCCGCCCTAGTCCTTGGGCCGCTGAGCAGGGCACACAGCTCTGCCTGCCCAGAGAATGCCTTGCTAGGAACTGCCCAGGGTGGGCCAGTGCTGAGTCTGTCCATGCCCCACCAGGGATGGCCTGTTTGTCCCCCGCTGAGCGATCTGACTTCCCCTTTCAGAGCACAACTAGGCAGCCTCAGGTCTCCGGAAATGCTACGAGTGAGTGAGTGAGTGAGTGGCTTCTGGGCAGTGCCCTGCTAAGGGCCAGGCCTGGAGACTGGGGCGGGGTTTTGAGGTCCCAGTAAGTGAGAGTGAAAGCACAGGTTGTGTCCTGCCTTCCCCAGCCCCTTGAAAACTCACCTAGCAGGTTCCTGAGTCCTCCCATGGACAGTCCAGCCGGGGACAGTGTCACCGAGGGGAGGCAGCAGGGCCAGAGTCCTGAGTCCAGTCCCTGAGTCCTGCTGTGGCTGTTTGTCTCCCACAGCACAAGTTCCCCCCTTACAGGGCAGACATACGTTAGAGGTAGATACTATTTCCTGTTACACAGCCTTCCCGGAACTCAGCGGGCATTCAGACTTGGCAGCTGCTGGGGCCAGAGATAGTACAGCAGATAAGGCATTGGCCTTACCCATAGCTGACCCCAGTTTGATCCCTGACACCATACATTGTTCCACTGAGTATCACCCAGTGTGTCCTGACCCCCTTCTCTGCCCCTCCCACCCCCCAAAACCCCAGAATTGGTAGCTCTATTTCAACAATATCCTTCTATGTTAATTTTTTCTGATTTTTTTTTCATAGCACATAACAATGTCTTGCTAGAATTTAACCATTTGGGACATGTGATTAAAATGCCCTGAGTTTCCTGAGAGCACTCACTCGGGGCGCTCTGAGGACTCTGCCCAAGGCAGGCAGGCATATCCCAAATGCTTCTCCAGTGGCCCAGCCATGGAGCTGCCCCCTGCCTGTCCCCCTCTGGGTGTCACGGCATGGGGAGAGGAATCTGGTTCTTTCAAAACTAAGTAGACATGAAAACTGTGAGCCTGTGATAGGTAATGGTTTGACTGGGTGTGAGAGACAGGGCTGCTGAGGGCCAGAACCATTTCCTGGGCAGCTGTCACAGATGACCACCAAGTGGGTGGCTTCGGAGCAGAGAAATCTAGTTGCTCAGAGCTCAAGGTGTTGCCAGACTGTCTGTAGGACCTGTCCCCTGAGCATGAGTTCCTCAGCTCTCAGCTGCCCTCCTAGCCCCTGTCCAGAACCTAAGATTAAGGCCACCAGCTCCCAGAGAGGCCACATTCCCAGGCGCTGGGCTGTGAAGATTTGGACTTCGCTTTTGTTTGTTTGTTTTGTTTTGGGGTCACACCCGGCAGTGTTCAGGGGTAACTCTTGCTGAGTGGCTCTGCACTCAGGAATCACTCCCGGAAGCACTCAGGTAACCATCTGGGATTCCGGGGATAGAATCTGGGTTGGTTGTGTGCAAGGCAAGTGCCTTACCTGCTGTACTATAACTGACCCCCTATACTCGTCTTTTTGAGGGAATTTTTTCAGCCTGCTGCAGGGACTCACAAAAATCTTTAAGTATTGACTTAGGAGGCTTTGCAAATGTCAGGAGCCCCTGAGAGCTTTGCTGCATTGAAGTTGTGGCCAGCAGGACAGGGCATTGTGCTTTTCCTGGGACAGCAGCCCTAAAGGTAACACCCCCCCCCCCCCCCCCCCCCGTGGTTCTTTTTATGAACACAAAGGCCTGGTTCTCCCTGGCTGCATCTTACAGGGCCTTCCCCGCTCCTCAGTCTATTTGTATGGATTTTTTGAGACACTGGGGATCGGCCCCAGGGTCCCCCACATGTAAAGCATGTGCTCTCCTGCAAGCCACATCCCTCACCTCCCCCGTAAAATTCTTATTCCCCACCACCACCACCCTAGCCCTCTGGTCCTTGACTTGTTTCTCTCCATGGCCCTTGTCCTTACCTGGCAGATATTTGCTTGAGATTATTGATTATTGACTATCTTTACCACCCCCTCAGCTGTTAGCTCCCTGAGGGTAGGGTGGTGGCCCCACTGCTGAATTCCCAGAGATTGAGACTGGGACTGCTACAAAATTGGCCCCCAGGAAATATTGGCTGAGGACTGGAGCAATAGTTCAGTGGGTTGGGCATTTGCCATGGCATACGGCCAACCTGGGTTCGATCCCTGGCATCCCATATGGTCCCCTGAGCACCACCAGAAACTATTCCTGAGTGCAGAGCCAGGCATAACTACTGATCATCATTGGGTGTAGTCCCAAAACAAAAAACAAAAAAAAGAAAAAAGGAAAGAAAGAAAAGGAAAGCAATATTGGCTGAGTGAATTGATAAACTCACTTTATCAACTCAACTTCCTCTGACCATGAAAAGTCATCCTTGGGAGCAGCAGTGCCAATGGTGTTGCACGCCTATTAAAGTATGGCATATATTCTGTGGTTATAAAACTAGTTAGATGGTTATTTATTAAACTCTTCGCCACGTGAGGAGGCCTAGCAATGAGCTCAGAGGAGAAGTACAGGCAAGGGGTCAGCTGAAGGAAATTTCAGGGAATGTTGAAATTTAGTTTCAGGGAATGTTGAAAGTTAGTTTCACAGGGGTCACACCCAGTGGTGCTGACATGGCATTTCTCCTGATCTTGCTCCAGCCCAGGGATATGGATCTGGAAGTATACGTGGGCCCCTAGGGTCCCACCCAGGGCTGCTCAGGCGGGTCATGCAGTGCTGGGAACCAAAAGCAGCACATCAGGCCCTGAGCTCTGTCTACCATGTGGGCCTTCTCCCCAGCCCTTGAAATGTATTTTATCAAGAGAATATATTCTCACGTTTCCTGTGCCATTAATCTTCTTAATCATACATTCTAAAATTAATGAAAGAAGCTCCTGATTGAATGGGAGATTAACACCCAAGAGTAGTAGAGATAAGGACCAGGAGATCTGCTCCACAGCTTGGAAGCTGGCCTTACATGCTAGGGTAAAAGGCAATTCAGATAAAGAAGGGAATACTAAGTAAAGGATGTTGGGAGGACCCGCTTGGGTTGAAAGATGCGTGCTGAAAGTAGACTATAGACTGAAAACGATGTCCACTTAATACTTCTATTGCAAACAACAACACTCAAAAGGAGAGAGAATAAAAGGGAATGCCCTGCTGAGGTGGGGGGGTGGCGGGGGGAGATGGAGAAGGGGAGGGGGTGGTGGGAGGGATACTGGGAACATTGGTGGAGGAGAATGGGCACTGGTGGAGGGATGGGTACATGATCATTGTATGACTGAAATGCAAACACGTGTACCTCACGGTGATTCACTAATAAAAAACTAAAAACAAATAAACAAAAAGGTAGCCTCTGATTACTGGTGGAGAGATTAAGCTCAGGCTGTCCATAGTGAAGTGTTCGCTGGCACCCTGGGCCTTAGCGTCTCAGCCCACCCTGGGCTCTGTAGGCAGCAGTGTCTAAGGTCTCCTCCTCTGCACCCCTGTCATGGTCTCTTCAGCTGGCCTCAGTGTGGAGTAGGGACTGGCAGAATGTTTAGTGGAGAAACATAGGTTGGCCATCTTAAAAGAAGTGCAAACTTGGAGTCAGGGAGATAATACAGGAGTAAGTGCTTGTCCTGCATGCCTAGTTCCAAGCCCCACCAACACATAGGCACCTCAAGGGCCTGCCCATGGGTACTCCTGAGCACAGAGTCAGGAGGACCCCAGACCATCTCTGGGTGTGGAGACAGAGAGATGGGAGAGAGAGAGAGAGAGAGAGAGAGAGAGAAGAGAAGAGGAGAGGAGAGAGAGAGAAAGAGAGAGAAAAAAGGGAAGAGGAGAGGAGAGGAGAGAGAGAAAGAGAGACAGAAAGACAGAGAGACAGAGACAGACACAGAGAGGAGGGAAAGAGAAAGTGGAGGGAGAAAGAGAGAGAGGAGGGAGAGAGAAAAAGAGAGAGAGACACACACAGAACATCAAGCCTTTTGCGTGGCTACCCTGGGGTTGATCCCTGGAACCACCTATGATCTCCCGAGCCATGCTAGGAATGATCCCTGAGCACCAAGTGTGTGGCCCAAGCCCCCTCTCACCCACCTTCCCAGGAAGAGCAGCCCAACCCAAGCCAAGCCAAGCCAACAGTGACACCATTTCAGCCCTTATGCTCAGCCCCCAAAGATGAGCACTAGTGGGAGGAGCCACCTCTTGGGGAGTAGCCGCAGGGAGCACCTTCTAGAGGCAGGAACGAATTGGTGTTCCAGGAACTGGGTCTGCACCACACGGTGGGCACGGGGCAGGGGCATGGGAGAGAGGTGCGTGTGGGTGAGAGGGTGCCCGGGGAGGGTCTTCTGGGGCCTGGGAGGGCCCTGAGCTGGTCCCCATGGTGACAGTGACCCTCCCTGCTTCCATAGCTGGGCCCAAGCCCTCTGACTTGCTCAGGAAGGACAGACTGGGTGCTGAGTAGATGCAGGTGAAGGGGTGAGTGTGGTGCAGGGGCCCAGGGCCAGGAGGAACAGGAGGAGGTTTGGGGGTAAGAGAAGGCCACTCCTAAGAATATTTCAGTGACAGTGACAACCACATTTTGTGCTCAGGTTTTAGCCATTATAGTGATAATAGTCTCCATTGGTTTTATTTGTTTTTCCTTTTCCCTTGCAAACAGGCCTTCCTTATTCTCTGAGCCCAAGGGGGTAGCAAGGCCTGAATGAGCTGAGCATGCAGGGGAGGGAGCAGGTAAGGGTATGGGCCGGGCCTTGCTGCCAGAAGTGAAGCACCCCAGGCACTGTGTGGACCTGCACCCCCTGCTTGGCCCCCTCACTGCCTTGTTTGTTTTCGCAGACTCGCCTGCAGGCTGGCATCGGCTACAGGAACACCCTGGACTGTATCTACACAGTGTACAGGAGGGAGAGTGTAAGTGTGCCCAAGCCATCCCTGCAGGGAGTCCCCTGGGAAGGGCAGAACCCACTGGAGCCTGCATTCTGCTCTGGGCGTTTGTTTTGACAGAGTTTCATTCTGTCTATCCCACCCCTCAGATACTGCAGACCCCCTAGATGTACCTGCTGCCTCATGCAGTGAGACGAAGACAACAACAGCATGCTTTGTGTGATCTCTGCAGATGTTTAGAGCCACGGGGTGGAAAATTCCTGCACAAACAGGGGGACTTGTCAGTTTCTGCCATCTGAAGGTGTGGCCAGTGATCCCAGCGCGCACAGGCACCTCTTTATCTGGAGCCCCGAGCTCCTCATTGCACATGCCCAGGACCGACTTGTCCCAGAGGTCGCTCCAGTCCAGAGGACTCAAGGGTTTTGTCTTTTGATAAGCCCCCACTGTGTCCTCCTCACCATCCTCCCATGCACTGGCGATAATGTACTAGGTCCCTCTGTCATTGGAATTTAGTTTCCAGTTCAGAATGGCAGAAGCACTGAAACGTGCCCAACATGAGCTCCAGGCTTCTCCTTGAGTCATGGGAACGGGACCCCTAGCTGACCCCATGCAGGATGTGCTCTGCACTAGTGGGAGACCCTCTGCCTGCGCTTGGAGCTTCCCCCGCAGCCGCCCATGTGCCCCAGCTGCTGTTCTAACTCTGGGTTCCAAGGCTTTCCAACCAGGCGGGCCCTGCCGGCTAGCCTGGTTCTTGCTATTCTGGGGTGATGTGGGATGCTTCCCTCCTCTGAAAGCGCCCATTGATTCTCCTCCTTGGCACCTCTTGCCCACAGTGGCTGCCAACGGGCCTCCCAGCTCCGGAGCCACACGGGGGGCTGTGAGCGTTTCTCTGAAACACACGGCACGAGGCCAAGTGGCACCCCAAGTTGCTGAGGGTGATCCTGAGCCACGCATGTGTGTGTACGCACATGCTACACGTGTGTGTCTGTGAGTGGCATGTGTGTCAGGCCTGTGTGTGTGTGCATGTGAACATGTGAGTGTGAGGGGTCCTTCTCTGGCGAATAGGGTGCAGTGTGTGCACTCACACCTTTACACTAGGATGTCCGACTTTGCGCAGGGCCTGCATCTATCTGGAAGCTCTGGCACTTTGTCGTCTTTGGCCCTGGCTGAATTGTGTGCTTGGCCATGGCTCCTCCAGGAAGCTGTGGAATTTTCCAGCTGCGGGTGGAGCGTCTGTGGTGTGGGGAGTGCAGTGAGGGTGGGTCCCCAGAACAGCCCTCTCCCAGGCACAGAAGCCTCTCCCAGCTGCCCTCCTGGGAAGTCCCCTCTCTGTTCTTATGCCAAGAGATGCCTGTGCTCAGGGCTGCCAACTGCTGCGCTGACCCTGGTACCCCTGGGGCTGACCTCCTCCCACCCCTCACCACAGACTCAGCGCTCTTTTTTCATTGCCCATCAGGGGGTCTGTCCTAGGTCCCCTTTCTCTGTGCTCCAACTGTGGGCTGGGGGTGGGAAGGAACTATTTCTCCCTGGCCCTCTGCCCCCTGGCCCACAGGAAGGGCCTAACAGTGCTTTGTGGCAGACGAGGAGGCCAAGCCTGACGCCCGAAGCCAGCCTAGCTCTAGGATTTTGCAGGCTCCCTCCAGCCACAGGCTGATTTCTTTCCCATGAGAGAACACTTCAGTGGCAAACATGGGTGCCAGGCCTGGCCCCCATGGTACAAGGAACAAGACTCCGTAGAGACCCAATTGCTCCCAGCTAGGACACCCGCCCGATGGTCCCCCTCACTCCTTTCTCCCCTCTCACATCAGCACTTCTCCTGCCTTCCGCTGGGGTGCTGTGATGCTCAATACTGTTAATGACACTTTCCTGCATGTTTGGTCCTAATGCCACACCCTCCGCCTGCAGCCCTCACCCCTCTGCCCGCAGGCAGGCTCATGTCTGTGGACAAACTCTCCAGGCCTCTTGCTTTTGGTCATTCATTGCTTCCTTACTATGTATCTTTCTATCCCACCTATGACCAAGATCGTTCTGTGTCTCTCCCTCTCCGGACTTCAGCATCTCCATCTCCGGACGCCCTCGACCTCCTTCCACACCACAGCAAATTGCAGGATTTCATCCTTCTTTGTAGCAGAGTAGTATTCCACTGCATTGCTTTATCCAGCCATGTGTTCTGGGTCAGCTGGGTGGTTTCTAGATCTCGGTGACTATGACTAGTGCTGCGGTGAACCTAGGAGCACAGATGTCTTTTCAAAATGGAGTTTGCAGGTCCCTGGGGTAGATGCTGAGAAGTGAAATTGCAAAATCTTATGGATACTCAATTCTTATATTTTTGAGGAGGGCCCACGTTATTTTTCGAAAAGGTCATCCAGTGGGCCTTTCCACCAGCAGTGGAAGGTTCCTCACACCCATGCCCACACTGGGGTTTTTCTTCTCTTTTATGCCCACCACCTCCTTCTACTCCTGTCACACATGTATCAATTTTATTTCTCTGCCACCAGCCAGCAGCTCCAGACAGCAGGGGTAGCACAGAAGGCCACTCGGAGAATGTGACCGCCCCGGGCCCTGACGCTGCCCCCTCTGGACTTCCCCACAGGTCTTTGGCTTCTTCAAGGGCATGTCCTTCCCCCTGGCCAGCATCGCCATCAATAACTGCTTGGTGTTTGGGGTCTTCAGTAACACCATGCGGTTCCTCAGCCAGCGCCACAGCAGTGAGTACGAGGCCAGCCCACCCAGTGCCTTGTCCCACCTGCTTCTGGCCAGCATGGTGGCGGGGTTGGTGTCCGTGGGGCTGAGCACGCCCGTGGACCTCATCAAAATCCGGCTGCAGATGCAAACACGGCCATTTCGGGAAGGTAAGAGGCTGACACAGGACCCCTGGGCTCTGGGATCTTGCCTGCCTTCCCCTCCACCCACCCCCAATCTGGGATGTGGCTTGAGCATCCTTCTCACCAAGCAGGCCATCAGTGTTGTTAGGTTAGAATCTGTCACTCTTTTTGTTTGTTTTGGGACCACCCCCATCCCCGCTCAGGGCTTACCCTTAGCTCTGTGCTCAAGAATCACTCCTGGCAGATGCTAGGGATCAAATCTAGATTGACTGTGTGTAAGGCAAGCTTCCTAGCTGCTCTTCTCTCACTCTGTCCCCGTCACTCTGATTCATCTACTGCCATCACTTAGGGTGACTGCATGCTTGCTGCTGCTGGATGCTTGCTGAAAACTAATTGTGTATTCCTGTCACCCTGCCCTGTGCCCCTTCAGGAGAGGCAGGCAGGCATTGTTGCTCTCCCCATTTCACAGATGAGAAAACTGAGGCCCCCACAAAGCTAGAATACCTTACTCAAGAACTCACAGTTAATGTTTCGAGAGTGAGGGCCTGCTGCATTTAATTGGTGTGAAATGAAACCTCAGAATTGCTTGTTCATATAAAAAAAATTTGTGTTGGGATTTTTGGGCTCAAAAGCCCAGCTGTGCTCAGGGCTGACTCCTATTCCCAGCTCAGGGATCACTCTGCGAAGAACTCAGGGAGCCCCATGTGGTTCTGGGGATCGAACCCAGGTTGGCCACATGCAAATCCAGAACCCTAGCCGCTTGCTGTGCTAGCTCTCCAGTCCCCTAATCAAGAAGTTTACAAGGTGAGCCCCAGGACATAGAAACAAGTAGGGGGCCTGAACGTGAGCCCGCACTGCCTCACCTCTAGCCGTGCTGCCCATATGGCAGCTCCAGTGGCCGGGGCTTCCCCCAGAGGATGCTGATGTGAAGAGGCTGCGTCCTGCACCCCCCACCACACACACCCCTCTCTTTAGCCCGATGCCCTGACCTTAATTCCTGTGTGCCCTGGACCACAAGCCATTTCACTCATGCCTGCCTGACTGGAAGGAGGTTTCTGCCTCTTCTCCAGGAGTGCTGGATAAAGGAAGGTGGAAAGATCCAGGAGTCCGGTCTGAGTGGAGAAGCAAACTGGGGTCTTCAAGGACAAATTTTGAGAACTTGGGGTCTGTTTCCCAGCTCTCTTGTTACCCTGTCCACTCGGCCCCTTCCCAGCTCACCTCCTCTCAGGTCTCGATGGCTGGCCTGTCCTCCTCTGTCACTTCCCATGTCTAGGAGGGACTGGTGGCTCTCACAGGCTTCTGCTCCCTGGCAGCCTTCCAAGTGATCCCTCTGTTTCCAGATGTTCTCAGCTGTGCCTTATAGCCCAAACCCCAAAACCTCCTTTAGGAGTACCCCAGGTCCCTGGGTGCCTTGTTGCAGCTCTCTGCCCTGTCTGAGAGGTACTGTTCAAAGAATCAAGTGCTGTGCATGGACCAGAGGGTACCACCAGGGCTGAGCGCACTGCTGGGCTCTGCTCTGTGTCAGGGGCTAACCACTCAGAGGCATATCCCGGGCAGGGCTTGTGGGCTTGCTTATGACTTATAACTTTCCCCCAGAATTGCCAGCCACTTCCTGGGTGGTAGTGATGAGTCATAGGGCCAGTGGCCACATACTGAAGCCAGCAGCCATGGGGCCACCGGCTTCTCTGCTTCGAGACAGTGTCACAGGTCCATGGGAGACCATCCTGGCTCTCTGCAAGGGATGAGCCTGGATTGGAAATGGGGCACTGGGGGGAAATGCAGATCCTGGAACACACAAGAAAATGCCAGACGTCCCAAGGCTGTCTGTCCCTGGTAGTAATCAGCTACTTTTTCTTTTTATGTATACTCAGTTGAAATGCTTTCAAAGGAGACACCCAATTTTCATATCCAGTTTTGAGCAATATAACAGAAACGACTCCATGTTGTTGTAACAGCATGTAAAATGACTTAAAACAGAAAGACTGCAATAAAAGTAAATTGGGCTCAGTCATTTAGTGCTCACGTTCAGTGTGGTGATAATCCCATTTCCGGAGTGAGTCTACCTGCTTTGAAAACTCCCCTTACCAGAGATAAGAATCCTTGGACCATGCACCAAGCCTCAGTTTCCTGATGTGCAAGGCAGGCCTTAGCAGTAGTAGTTGCTTTACAACCAGGACCAAAACTCAGCAAGGTGTCCTGCACATTGAAAACAACCAAATAAGCACTAGCAATCAGATTTTAAACTGACTTTTCACAGTATTTCCACCAATGAACGTTTAGGCACTTTACAGTTTTCCCTCCTTGAAAACTAAAGATACAATCAGCATGTTTGTCCATAAAGAGTTGCCTTCATTTTGGGTCCTTTTCCTCCATGTGTGGGTTCTTTGATTCATGAATTGGTCAAAGGGTATGGTCATTTTTGAGATTTTTGGTACATATTGTGCAACCGTTATACAGAAGGGTTGTACCTAATTACATCAAAGTGGCTGAAGTGTAAAGGGAATTTCCATTTGCAACTCTGGTTGTACACTTAGCAGATATTTCTCATGAAAACTTTCCACAGAATAGGCATTTTCTCCTGGGGCCTCTGCACTCAGCAGGCCAGGAGGCCTGCGCTGAGTTCAGGCTGTGCCCTGGGCAGGAAGGCACCTGTGAATAAACCTTCCCCCTTTCAAGGCATCAGCACCCTGTGAGCGGACTCAAGGAGGCCTCCCAGGGTGCCTGGATGGGTCTGAGCTGTAAGTCAGGGCCGTGGTCCTTGAGGCTGGCCACCCTCCTGCCGCCTGGGCCAAGTCACATCCTGGAGGCAGTGGCCAAGGACGTTCCCACCTCCCGACTCTGGGAGCTTTTGGGTCTGGGTTTTCATTAAGGGCCTAGTTAACATGCAAGGCAGAGTTCCCACCACATCACAGGAGGCAGCATTGGGGGGGGACTGGAGGGAGGTGGCCTTAACTCTATGCTGACCACTGGCAGGGGCACCAGGCCCCCTGAGGCAGAGGGCTGATGTTGGAAATTACACAGTTCTGTTCCTGCACCGGTATCTCAGAGCTGAGCAGGGTAGGCGAGTCAGAAGCAGCAGACACAAGCCCCTGCCTACAGGGAGCACTGGCTGGCGAGAATCTCAGGTACATCAGTGAGAGAATGTGGAAGTTTCGGGAAACTTCACCTCTGCCTCAGTGCGTTAGGATGCTCCAGAGAGGTGGTAGCCTTGGATGGGGCTAGGAGTTGGAATAATCAGGACAGGAGCATGGGGAGGGAGAGGGTTTCGTAGCAAGGGAACAGAGTCAGGAAAAGGCAGCCATGGGGCAGCCCAGGGAGCTGTTTGGTTAGTGCAGGTATCAAGGTAGAGGCTGGGGGTGGGGATGCTGGAAGATGCAGGGTGAGGGTCAGGAGCTAGGGTTCTTAGTGGATGATGGGCTGAGATTCAGCAGATGATCAAGTGTTTTGAATCCCAGAAACTCTTGGTCCAGCCAAGGGGGAAGGTGGACCCAATTTCTGGAGGGGCTGGGAATCAGAGCTCCAGAGGCAGATTTGGAGATTGCCACAGATCAGATGCCAGCCACCACAGACCCAGCGTCCTGGACTTGCAACTGGGGGGAAGTGGTCAACAGGAGAGAACCATGGAGGACGTCAAACCAACATCCAACCAGAGAGCGTGGAAAGGTGACCCAGGGTCTCCGAGGGGGACATGCCACAGAGAATTGGTGGCAGATGAAGTGTGTGATTTGGTGCTTGGCATTGAGGTAGGTGTTTCGGGGGAGGGGAAACCTCCCCAGTGGTGCTCAGGAGGTCATGGAGCAACTACTGGCCAACTGGTTGGCAGTTCAGTGCAACGGTCTGAGGGTAAGGTGCTGCCCAGGCCCAGTGAGCCATCTTGGCAGTGCTAGGGGCCTTCAGGATCACTCCTGGTGGTGTTTGGGAGACCCTGAGGTGTCAGAAACAGGATTCAGGCTAGGCCTGTGCTAGGCACATGCCCTTACCTTTGTCCTAGCTCCTTGCCCCCTTGCCTTCTCGAAGGCCAGAAGATGCCTCTGGTTGTTGCTGCTTCTGTTTGGGGACCTGGTGGGGACAGGTGGTGGGGGTGGGGCGACTTGTGTGGGGACATGCTGAGTTAGGCTGCACAGGTGCTGAGGAACCAACACCAGGTCTGGAGGGACAGACAGGTGTATGGCCAGCAGAGATGTGGTCGTTGGAATTATGACACCAGGTGCAAATGTGGAGACACACTGCAACAGAGAAGGCAGTGAGCATGGAAGGAACATGTGAATGAAGCAGTGAAAGCCATGATGGCCCTGGGAGATGCAGACAGACTTCTCTATGAAGGGCTCTGCAGCTACTCTGAAACAGCCACTGTCATTATCTCTACTTCCTAGGTGGAGAGACTAAGACGTGGGTGGGTCACTTGTCCTGTTCATTCATCCGCTGCACAGAGAACGGGGCATGGGCCCTGGTCAGCTAACTCCTAAAACTGTAGAAACAACGTACTGAGTAACTCATGTCATGTGAGGAAAGCAGAGGGGGAGACAGTAGGGCCAGAGACAAAGGGATCGAGAAGGGAAAGGGTTCCTTTCCCACAATGGGACAAGAGAATGAAGTAAATAGTTTGGGGGGGGGGGCGGGGGTTGAGGCCCTGAGGAAAGAACTGAAGGTTTGCACCTGAAAACCTGCTCTGCTGGATCGAGGATCATCAAGATAGAATAAAGGGGCAGAGCTCGGCCTAGACTCCAGGAGAAGAAAGTTCTGGTTTTGGATGTGCCAAGAGGAGGGAACAATCCAGGTCAGATGGGAAGAACAGAGTGTTAACTGAGGTGGATCTGGGGAGGTAAGGTCAGCGCCACGCTCCAGAACACAAGGTGGTCTGAGTTCAAGAATCCCTGTGGAGGGAAAGTGAGGCAAAACCCTTTCTCTGGTTCTCCTGACTTTTCCCAAATGGCTGGTGGTTGGGTATGTCACCAACTGTACCTCACAGGCCCTGAAGACAGTTTGTCTCTTTGGTAACCTAGTTTGATTGCCACCATAAAGATATG